AGGAGGCGCGCGAGGTCGATGAATCGTACTTATAGTCTTAACTCAAGTTACAAATTTAACAGTCTGACAAATAAAGGGAACACTCCCATGAACGTGCACAGAATGGGGAAAAACAAGCAAACTCGTGCTTGATATCCAGTGAGCCCAAAGAGTACGCAAAAAATGGCGTATTTCACGACTCTGGAGAATTCTGCCTAAATGTAATACATAGAAATATGTTCATACATTGTAGTCTCATCATAAGATCCAGCACGTTGCTCGGTAGTACACGATAGGTGTGAGCTGTTTTTTGAATCCAATTTTTGATGCGCTGTGTTCTTTTTATTCACCTTCTACCCTTCGCCTACCAACACGCCTCTCCTCGCCCCCTCACCTCATTCACCATTCGAAAATCCTCCCCCTCAAAACACGACCGCTTGGTGCTTAACCGTGTGCTTTTGATTTTGTCTGTCAGCTGCAGTGGATACCCGCACTCGAAACACGACTCATCCAACGCTCGCAAACTGGCGTGTACTCACTCACTATCTGAGCTCGCAGCACTCTTGTCATGCCCAACTCGCTTCCGCTCGAACACCACATTAATTTTAAAATGAATTTATTTTTAGATAAACTGCGCCGCATCTACCCCCGCTGCGCTGCCACCACACGCCGCCCGCGACCCGCCGCCGTCCCCACCCACGCGGCGCCCCCCCGCCCCGCGCCACCGCGTCGCCCCCTCCCTAGTTCCTCAGCATAAAACACAAGCCACCAGTGTCTTCCTATCTAATGCATAAACACCTCCATGCCATCCTTGCTGAGAGGCGCTGTGCAGAGGACAGCCAGGTCATGGCACACACACACAACAACACACACAGCACAGCACACACACACACACCACACACACACACACACACACAAAAACATAAAGCACGCACTCCTTCATCGGACCGGCAGATTGAAACAGACTGCTACTTGGCAGCAGTACAAACCTTTGGCAGGAATGCAATCTCAAGTTGCTTTGCAAGACTGAGTGGCTATAGGCAGGGGCAGCAGAATGCTCTATGTCTGTGTGTGTGTGTCTTTTATTCGTGTGTGTCGTGTGTGCATGTGGGTTGCGGTGACGGTGAACTTGGCCTGCCGCTCCCCACAGCTCCTCTCACATATCTACTCCTCTCGATGGACTCCTGTCCTATGGCCAATCATATGAAAATAAACTGCTGCTCCCACAGCCCAATGAAAAGACCACCTACAGCATACACAGCCACAGCCCAACACACACACACAACACCACACACACAGACACACCACCCACCACAAACACACACACACACAACAGACAACACACTAGACACACACACACACACTGTTGATAGTCGGTAGCAATTTGCTGATGAGACTAAAGCACAGGGAAAGTCCATTAGGTTAGTGAGCATGAGAAATAAGCACTAGTATAGCAGCTAGTAGCCTGTAAGCTACTGTGTTCATGGTCGGGGGGGGGGGACTGAACAGGATGAAGATATGTAGGGCAGCTGTGATATTCTGTAAAGAAATAAAACAAAAGTGCAATATTTATGAAGCCTGAGAACATCACAATGTCATTATGAATGTAAACGAATTGGAGACGAATGTGAAAACCTCCTTCTAGAGTCAAACTCTGCACATAACATCATTGAAACATCACACTGTAGGAACAAGA